CCCCATTGACCCCAATGTCCCCACTGACCCCAGCGACCCCACTGACCCCAATGTCTCCACTGACCCCACTGACCCTACTGACCTCACTGACCCCAGCGACCCCATGTCCCCACTGACCCCACTGACCCTACTGACCTCATTGACCCCACTGACCCCAATGTCCCTATTGACCTCATTGACCCCACTGACCCCAATGTCCCCATTGACCCCACTGACCTCATTGACCCCACTGACCCCAATGTCCCCATTGACCTCATTGACCCCCGCTGACCTCAATGACCCAACTGACCCCAATGTCCTCACTGACCCCATTGGCCTCATTGACCCCACTGACCCCAAAGTCCCCACTGACCCCACTGACCTCATTGACCCCACTGACCTCAATGACCCCACTGACCCCACTGACCCCACCGGCCCCCCTGCCCCCCGGCCCCATACCGGTGTCCTTGTCGGCCCCAAAGAGCACGGAGGGGGGGTTGGGGTGCACCAGGAGCTGCAGGTAGTTGAGGGCGAACTTCTCCACGTATTCGCGCAGCGGCTCCTTCTCGTACATCCGCTTCACGAACAGCAGCGCCTGCTGGCGGACCTGGGGACCCCGGTGGCACCCATGGGTGCCTACTGTCACCTACTGGCACCCATGGGCACCTACTGGCACCTACTGTCACCCACTGCCACCTACTGGCACACATGGGCGCCTACTGGCACCTAATGGCACCTATTGGCACCCATGGGTGCCTACTGTCACCTACTGTCACCTACTGTCACCTACTGGCACCCATGGGTGCCTACTGCCACCTACTGTCACCTATTGGCACCTACTGGCACCTACTGGCACGTATTGGCACCTATTGGCACCTACTGGCACCTACTGGCACCTATTGGCACCTACTGGCACCCATGGGCGCCTACTGTCACCTACTGCCACCTACTGTCACCCATGGGCGCCTACTGTCACCTACTGTCACCTACTGGCACCCATGGGCACCTACTGTCACCTATTGGCACCCATGGGTGCCTACTGTCACCTATTGGCACCCACGGGTGCCTACTGTCACCTACTGTCACCTACTGTCACCCATGGGCGCCTACTGGCACCTAGTGGCACCTACTGGCACCCATTGGCACCCATGGGCACATACTGTCACTTACTGGCACCCATTGTCACCTACTGGCACCCATTAGCACCCACTGTCACCTACTGTCACCTACTGGCACCCACTGGCACTCATGGGTGCCTTCTGTCACCTACTGTCACCCACTGTCACCTACTGTCACCCACTGGCACCCATGGGCGCCTACTGCCACCCATTGGCACCCATTGACGCCTACTGTCACCTACTGTCACCTATTGTCACCCATTGGCACTTACTGTCACCTATTGTCACCCATTGACACCTACTGTCACCTACTGTCACCCACTGTGACCTACTGCCACCCATTGGCACCCATTGACGCCTACTGTCACCTACTGTCACCTATTGTCACCCATTGGCACCTATTGTCACCTACTGTCACCCACTGCCACCTGTCACCCACTGCCACCTATTGTCACCTATGGTCACCCACTGCCACCTACTGCCACCCATTCTCACCTATTGTCACTCATGGACCCCTGTTGCCCTCACTGTCCCCTGTTGTCCCCACTGTCCCCTATTGTCCCCATTGTCCCCACTGTCCCCTATCATCCCCTATTGTCCCCTACTGTCCCCTATCATCCCCTATTGTCCCCATTGTCCCTACTGTCCCCTATCATCCCCCACTGTCCCCTACTGTCCCCCACTGTCCCCTATCATCCCCTATTGTCCCCCACTGTCC